ACAATCTTATTTTACATACCAATCCCAGTTGCCTCTCCCTCCGGTCTTCCCATTCACCCCACCAAACCCCATCTCACACCCACCCACTCCTCAGGAAGGGTGAGGCCTCCCATGGAGGATCATCAAAGTCTGTCATATCAATTGAATAAAAGCAGGGATGAAGTAGAGGAAATTGTAACAAACTCCAGTTAAGTATAGGCAAACAGGAAATACCTTGAAAACCTAGCAAAAAAAACCCCTGGAAAATGTAGAAAATTGGTTAAAACCTGCCAACTTAAACACATCCACCATAAGCAGCAGACAGAAGCAGTAATAATGATAATATTCACTTTACTATATTAATAGTACAGCTCACAGTCTCTTCTGTTCCAAGAAGCAGCAAGGAATAATACAATTAATAAAAGACCATCCAATTACATGATCACCCTTTCTCAGCCCACATTCTTTTTCATACTAAGCAAGGCTGGAAAAGATTTCCAAATATTCCAGTTTTCCCTCAGAAATAATAAACTGGAGAGTATCAATAAATAAATAAATACATAAATAAATAAACAAACTATGTGTCAGGGCCCATAAAGATGGCTGTTCTCCATCTTGCCTCAAGGTCAGATAGTTCAAAACTGTCCTTAATAAGTCAAAAGACCCAAAATCTAAGGCTTGGCTACTGCAGGATGTTTAGGCCTTGGTATCGGATATCTTATCTAAATAACAATACACTTGGGCTCAGGTGTGTTCACTCTTGACAGGTGTGGCTACCAAATACCTAGAAAATTAAGGGAAGTAAGTCTGTTTGCTTCTTATACATGATAATAGAAGTTTTCTGCCACACACATCCCCATTGGTGAGGCACGCCTTTAATCCCAGCACTCAGGAGGCAGAGGCAGGTGGATCTCTTTGAGTTCCAGGCCAGCCTGGCCTACAGAACAAGTTCCAGGACAGTCTCCAATACAGAGAAACCCTGTCTCGAAAAACCCGGAAAAAAAAATGTTGAAGAGTAAACCAGGGGCATTCAGTGTTCACCAGATTGCCCTCTTGACTCTATCACGTCTCTCTGTCTTTCTCTCAAGAGCGTGGGCTTACACAACTATGAAGGAAATCTAAATTTATCTCAGCAGGAGAAATTTAAGGCTTGAGTAATGGTCATGAGCTCAAAGGTAAAGACTCTTCATAAGGAGACCCAGGCTTCAGTCCCAAGTACTTAATCCTGAGAGATGGGAGCTGGAAAAGACGTTCTAACATTCTGTGAGCTTCTTATTCACTTTGCTTCCTTAAGATGAGCCAAGAGACTGGAAAGACTGCTGAGCAGTTAAGAGCATCTTTCAATCTCCCAGAGTACCCAAGGTCTGTTCCCAGTTGGGCAGCTCACAATCACCTGTAACTCAGCTCCAGGAGGATCCAACACCTTGGACCTCGGTGAGCATTGAATGGGGTAAACTAAACTCAAAGGCTTCACTTCTAGTAATTTAGAAATAAAGGGACCAGACCCTCACTGAGCCCCTGCTTTAGCAGCCATGACAGGCTACGGAAAAGACACGTAGGCCTCTGACACAAGGAAACTCCAGATCCTCCGATCTCCAGGAGTCTAGGGTCAAAACTGAACACAAAGAAACTCCCAACCTCCCTGTCCCCCCAGCCTCCTAAATACCTGGTTCCTGGGAACTGTTTGGCCACAAAAGAAACTCCAGGGGAGACCAAAACCTCTCCTGTAGTCTCCAGGATACAGTTCTGAAAACGATTGGTATCTGTGTACAACAGGCCAACTGCAAGTAACAAGACAATGCCATAGAAACCACAGAATGTTCCCTCTCAGCATTGACCAATAAAAATAATTGGTCAATTATTTCATGCTAAAATATGACTGATAATTGTTCCCAAATATCAACCAATCAGAAACCAACCGGTATCCACTGATGTAATCCTGCAATTTTTGTCTTTAAAGCCTAGCAGTAGACAGGGAACTTCACTCCCTGTGGGGGCTGCTGCGTCAGCTTGCTAGACGGGGTCCCTGTCATGGGTGGATGAACAATTAAAATCTTGCTTTTGAAGTTTGGTGGGTCTGTCTTCCTGGTGGTCTCTGGGGATCTTTGCAACTTGGTCACAACAGGCATCTGACCTATAACTCCACATCCAGCCACCCAAATTAAAACAAAACACTTTGGCTACAAAACACTTTAAAGAGTGTTCAACATCTAAGGCATCGGGAACATGGAGATTATAGCTGCTTCATCTCAGTCAGACAGGCCACACTATCAGGAATACAAATGTCGATAAGTGCTGGTGTGGATGTGGCAAAGGGGAACCCATACTGTGAACGGGGGTCTAAACCAGTACAGTCACTTTGGAAATCAACCAGAAGGCTTCTCAAAATATTACAAACGGAACTGCCACATGACCCAACTGTAACCACATTCGAGTTCACTGCAGCTCTATTCACAATAGCTAGAAAATGGAATCAACCCAGATGTCCATCAGGTAGATAAATGGATTCAGATATAAAGAAAAAACTGACATCCGCAGGTAAACTGAACTGAGAAAAAAAATTACAGTGAGTGATGATGTAATGTTAGCAAGAAAAACACTCTATGTTCTCTCTTTTATGCAGATCCTAACTGGAAGTCTTTTGTTTTACTTACAGAACAAGTAAATGGCAGGAAACTAGAAAAAAAAAAGCCCCTTTTATTTGGTAGGGGTAAGCTGAAGGGGGAAGTATAGCAAGTAAAATGAAAGTAATGATGGAATAATGGTGGTGAAAAGGCTTATGAAGGGAAGGGCAGGGGAGTACGGGAGGATCCGGGGATGCAGATGAGGGCTCACTCGAGGAAGGAAGCCTAACTTTAAAAACTCAGTGAAGGATAACAGAGCACATGCAAAAGTGTGGGTGCACTGGTAATGAAAGGGTTAAGTGGTGACCGGGCGAGAGCATGAAAATGGAGGGAGCAGTCAGTAGGTGAACCCAAATCGAGAATGCTCGAACCCCCTTTTGGTAACACACTAGCTGGTAAACTAATTTCAAACCACAACTTAAAAAAAAAAAAGTTCAAACACAATCACCCTGTGTGGGTGGGCATAGGAGGATGGGAGGGAGAGGGAACAGGGATTGGTATGTAAAATAAGATTGTTTCTAATTTAAATACAAAGTAAAAAAGAGAGAGAAAGTAATAGAAATCTTGCCGCTATCTAGCTTTCAAGATTCAGAAAGTGCTATTAAGGTGCTGGGGTGAGAAAAGACATCAAGAGTCTTACTTAGAATACTGGACCCTCATGTGGCAATACCAACCTGCCAAGCAAGACATGCCCGCTGGAGCAGTGGTACCACAAATGTTACAAGGGTAACTAACTACTTTCGAACTGTATTTGAGGTCCGCTCCACAGGATGCAATCTCATCCCTAGTACTGCAATGAAGGTCAAAAGCCCATGTGGAGGAGGTCATGGGCCCTAGGGTAGAACCTGATTTTGCTATTTTGTGAAATGGTCATGCTGTCCAAGTGCCTTATAAAATATTTGTTTAAACTTGTAGACCTGGCCACTGGCGTCAACCATAGTTAAAGGAGTTTTTTTCTGCAGTGGGCAGTGGTGTCTCAAACCCTGGGACAAATGGCAGTGGTGCCTATTTAACATATCAAATCGAACCTTGCAGGCAGGCTCTCCCTGTATTCCTCCTGGCTTGCATGCCAATCCCTGCCCTGAAGGGGGCGGGGCTGCTCTTGAGCCTGACTATGCTTTCCTGTTTATCTACAATAAAATAAACTTGCTCCTCCACCACACTCGCGTCCTTTCGTTCTCTCTCTCTCTCTTTCTCTCTCTCGTGTTTTCTCTCTCTCTCTCTCTCTCTCTCTCTCGTGTTTTCTCTCTCTCTCTCTCTCGTGTTCTCTCTCTCTCTCTCTCGTGTTCTCTCTCTCTCTCTCTCTCGTGTTCTCTCTCTCTCGTGTTCTCTCTCTCTCTCTCTCTCTCTCTCTCTCCATTCAGGCAGCAGTCAACAAAGAGATGAATAAAAAAGTCAAACACCGCTGACAGTAAAAGACAAAGGCTCTGTCCTAAATGGGGTACCTATGCCTCCCTCAGCCCCCTCCACCGCTGCTCGAGGAACATCTTAGAAGAGGAGGCAGGAAGAGCCAGAGGCCGGGGAATGCTGTCTCCTGGACACGGCAGGGCTATTGTACCCATGAGCTTGGAGCAGCTGGGGTCACCTGCACAATATCTGGCATAGATGGGGCAGTATTGCACAGGCCCATACTTACTGAGTAGTTATTGGCAATTAGCAGTTTTTAGAATGATTCTGTTTAGAGGAAATAGCCGTTGATAGGATTCCCTTTCCAAACACGCATGCACACACTGGCAGAACTAACTGCTGAAATATGTAATAACATTATTATTATTATTATAACTTAAGGGTGTACTCGAGTATAGAAGAGTTACTGGAAGGAGGAATAGGGGTGGATATAATCATATTTCATTGTATATATGCATAAAATTCCAACGATACAGAAAAAAAATTTAAAAGTACCCAGAGGGATCACAGGGTTAAGCTAAAGCGGGTCAAACGGGAATACAAGGACGGGAAAACAAGGCTCGGCACCCACACCCTTCACAGCACAACCTGGGGTCTGAGCAGCGCTAACCCGCAGGCGGCAATGTCCACGCAGGCTCAAGATCAAAACCCCGACGCATCCCGACAGAACCTGGACTGGAGTGACGCAGCTTCACAACGGCAGGACAGGATCCCAGCCTCCCTGCCGCTTGCTCGGCTCACACTATAAGAGCAGGAGGTGAGACGATGCAGGGCCTTTACCGCAGTCTCAGCTGCTCAGCGCCAGGGGACCTTCAGGGCGGTGGTGCCACATTACGCCAGAGCCACAGCAGCGTCACAACCCCGCCACTAAGGATTCCAGAGGCCCGGGGCACACTCACCATCTCCTGCTTCTGATGCACGCAGGTGTCGCCCGTAAAGGGCCGACCATCAGCTGGAGGCATGGTCACCAAGGTCGGGAGACCTCTCAACGGCTTCCGGGACTCAAACATGGCGGTAACGGCCACACCTTCCGAATACCCGTGCTTCTCATTGGGCAGTTAACGCGAAGTCATAACAGCGTCCCTGGTTGGCGAATGACGCGTGCGGTGAAGCGGGGATGGTAAGGGGGGCGGGGCGATGGGGATTTGGGAGAGTTGGGGTTTGTAGGATGGGGGTGGGATTGTGGGTGAGGAAGTGTTTTATAACCTGGAAAACACGCCTTCCCTGCAGGTTGCAGCTGTAATGACAGGTCCCCCCAGTGACCTTGTTCTATACTGGTTCCCTCCTGGAATACACCTGGTCCAACCTGGGGTAACCTTGCATTTAAGGAAAACATGTTCGGATTCTTAGAGTCGCTTCCCGGGTGTATTTAGTGGGCCACGATGGGTTCTTTCACTTAGAAATAGTGCCACGAGTTTGATGGGGGCAGCAACCACATTCAGTAGCTTAGGAACACAAGGATGATGACCTGGGAGAGGTCCCTAGCTCAGCCTGGACACAGCATCAGGAAGAATGGCCTGGTATGCACGCCAGGATGATGTATGTGAACTAAAGCTGAACCTTCTGTAAGGTCGATTCACAGATCAGAACATCAGGGATGGGAGAGCGTTTGGAGTGTTACAAGTCCATTACCTTGGGCCCTTCTTAGCCCTCCGAATAGCATCTGTGGCCATCTTCTGTACCTGACCTAACGACTTTCTAACTATTATGTAAATCTTTTGGAAAGTACAATAGAAAGGCACTGTCCTTTGGAATGTACAGAGCAGTAACTTTCTAACCAACCAAAAGGACAAGAACACAAGATCAGAAGACGTCTGAAATCTACTCCAGAGGTTTCCCCCTTTTCTTTCTAACCTGTCTACCTAATGTTTCCAGCAGTGAACTTTTAAGTGTCTGGATTTTATGATTTCTTTATTCTGTTGATATAAAACTTCATATTCATATTGGAGCATAAAAAGTGGGATAATCTAAATTCTGTGTTTCTAAGTTGCAGAAGTGAATATGGCTTGTGTATCGACAGGCTGGTCCCCAAGGCTTTCCCACACCTTATCCTTCAATCTATCCATTTACAGGCAGGAAAATTAAAACACACCAAGAAGGATACAATTACTCGACTGAAGTGCGTGAATCTGTCTCTCTGTGTGTAGTTACACTGCAGCAATATTATATAAAGGATTCAAGAGGTATGTAAGGGAACCCTTAAAATTTTTCAAAAAGGTGGGGCGTTGGTGGTGCATGCCTTCCATGCCAGCCCTGGAGAGACAGAGGCAGGCAGATCTCTGTGAGTTCGAGGCCACCCTGGTCTACAGAGTGAGTTCCAGAACAACCTCCAAAGCAATACAGAGAAACCTTGTCTCAGAAAAAAAAATTCTTCCAAAAAAGAGGTTTCTATGTCAAAGATTCATATAAAAGACTACATTTACAATTGCAAACATACCCAAGACCCAGTATCACAGGAGCTGCTGACAGAGATTACCAGAGTGGTCATTCACTATTGATGAGTCAGAGTCTTTGTTCTATCAGGTTAACTCTGAGAGTTCGCCAGGACATCTCTGAGATCCTCCATTATGAAATCTTTCTTCAGCACCTTAGTATTTATAAGAACAAGGTAATGCCCATTCATGTTAATATTTAAACCCCCAAAAGTTACCACTTTAGAGGGACTATTAGAGAAAGACAGGAGAATATAAGAGGCTAGGCATGAAAGAGGGAAGAATCGTTGTTGAGAGGTCACATATAATCAATTTATGAAATGTCACAAGGGAAGCCATTAATACGTTTAAAAATAAGATCTAATAATTTGGCTAATTAGATTTTTAATATTTTATTTGTGAGACAAGGTCCTACTATGTGTGCACCATTCCTAGACAGGAACTTGACATGTGGACCAGACTGTCTTCAAACTTGTGAAAATCGTCTTGTCTCAAATCCAAAGGGACTGTATTATAGGTGTGTGGAATCATATGAGCTGGAGTACATTGCTCATCAGAAGCAAAAGAGAGAACCATGTCCTACAAATTGTCCCAATAGTCAGACATGCAAGGGGGCATGCACGTGTACACATACACACACACACAGACACACAGACACACACACACACACACACACACACACACACACACACGACAGCAGGACAGCTACCTTAAAGTATGCCATTCATATACTACTCCAAGGAAAGGACAGAATATCAAATCCTGAAAGCAAGTTTTCTGAATTACTCCAGAAAGTCAAGGAAAAGAAGAAATTATAATCACAATTTTTAAGATTTCCTGTGCATGATTAAGAAAACAAACTTTTAAAAGTGTGTGGCACCTAAGTAGTTGCTGACATAACTACTTACAGAAGGAATAAAAATCTTGAGTATCAAGGTCTGTAATGTGGTGTATGAAAAACCTCTCAAGGGAATGCATTGTTCAGGAGGGTTTGTACATGACAATGAAAAGGACAACTAGCATTTCAAAATAAATTGGCTAATGTACCCTATCATAGTGAATAATTAGTCCTAGGCATGATTGCATATGACTATAATAACAGCATTTAGGAAGTTGAGAAGGAAGATGGGAAGCTTGGGCATTCAAAATTGGAAGATCTTAGGTCTGTAATGCACTAATATTGTTAAAATTGGTGAAATATTCAGCCATGTAAGACATTTTACAGTGATTCACTATGCAAAAACTTTCCTTTATGCACAAAATTATTTAAAGTATTTTACTGAAAAATATTTTCATGCAGTATATTTGAATTATTTTATCAAGTCTTCTTTTGCCTCTTAATATATGTATCAAGGAAATATTACTTTTTTACTTAAGTTGAAATCAGTCTTCAAAAAATTACATTAAGGAAATTCAACTATTTCAAATCTACAATGTCTGATGTTCAGTTTTATTCACTGTGTCATAGACAATGTTTTTCAAAAGCCTACAAGCAACAGTGTTGTTGCAGAAATTTATGATATTGTATGTTGTCCTTGAGAACTCTTGATGAATAGTCCCTGCTTTACTTACTTCTGCTTCACAAATTCTTAAAGAACCAAGGTCAACATTCTGTATTTTCCCTTGGGACCGTGTCTTTCTATGCAGTCAAGTTGGGGGCCTCAAACATGACAGGCTTCTGGCACTGCCTCTGGAATACTGTAACATTCAGCAGTCACTACACTGACCTTCAACAATTCTCCAATTCTACAGCCCAATCCTGTGCTGTAATGATCTTCTCAATTTTTTTTTTGCAGAACTTGGTAATTAAGAGAGACTATGAATAGGAACACAGTAGTCAGTGTGCAGAAGCCCAGCAGGATATTCTAGAACACACTGTTAATGAAGACATATCTCCTGCAGTAGCAGTATATGAAAGCAGTTTGTATAAAGGAGACATTATTGCCCATTCACCCTCAGATGTGCACTTCAGAGGTAAGCATGAAGGGAAACCAAATCAGATGTGGAAAGGGATTTTTGTTAATTTATTCATTTTTATTTAAATCTTATTTTACATACCAATTCCAGTTCCCTCCCATCCTCCCATGTCCCCCACCAACCCCTCATCTCACCCCTCCCATCCACTCCCCAGGAAGGATAAGGCCTCCCATGAGGGATCATCTAAGTCTGTCACATCATTTGGGGCTGGGCCTAGGCCCTTCTTCATGTATCTAGGCTGAAAGAGTATCCCTCCATAGGAAATGGGCTCCCAAAGTCCATGCACTAGGAATAAATACTGGTTCCACTATCAAAGGCCCCATAGATTGCCCAAGTACCCCAACTGACACCCACATTCATGGGGCCTGGTTCAGTCCTATGCTGGTTTCCCTGCTCTTAGATTGGGGCCTGTGAGCTCCCACTTGTTCAGGTCAGCTGTTTCTGTGGGTTTCCCCAGCATGGTCTTGACCCCTTTGCTCATCACTCCTCCCTCTCTACAACTGTATTCCAGGAGTTCAGCTCAGTGTTTAACTGTGGATTTAAACATAAGAAATGTTGGGCTCTTGTCCTCTTTCTGCTCTTTCTGGCTCTCCTCTCTCTTTCTGCTCCTGTCTCCCTCTTCTCTTCTGTCTTCCCTCTCTGTCTCTCTACCTCTTTTCCTTTTCTTTCCCTTCCCTCCCCTTTCTAATAAAACTTCTCAAGAAAGAAAGACAGATAGACAGACAAACAAAGAAAAGAAGGAAAGAAAGGAAGAAAGAAAGAAATGTTGGAAATTTTTCACTTGTTCTGACTCTGTCTCTTTCGCCTGATATAACATGTTTGCCCCATCCTCAGTGACTTTGACATGAACTACTTCTTGATAAACACTGCTGGCCAAATTTGCCCAAGGGAAGTCTACCCCTGGGATTTTTCTTTCTAGGATGAAATCACTGTGGCTGTCTGGAGAAGGAAATATGCAAATATATTATGTAGCATTTATTTTGTAGAACCTGTAAGTGTTATAGCCCTGATGGAAAAGATTTTCACAATAGGAGTGTTGCAACTCTGAAAGAAAAGGTATCCTGGTAGTCAGGAGCCAAGGGATACCCCAGAGTAACCCTGCACAACAAAACCTCACACAGGAGATTTACTGGGAAAGGCACCAGAGGACAGTTGTGTCCACCCCAGCAAGAAGCAAAAGGGAACTGAAGAAGAGACAGGCTTGTGTAGGGTTTCTTAGGGGAGGAATTTTCCAGGGTGGAGATTTCCAGGGTAGGCACTGGTGGGATTTCAAGTCCTGGGCTTGGGGCAAGCCCAGGGCTTTAGTGCGATTTTGAGTTTAGGGATTAGTGGATTTTCAAGATCAGAGATTGTTAGATTTGGGGGCTCAGGAAGCAGTTGTAGGCAGACTTTTCTGTACCTCCAATCAATTCGCAAATAATCAGAGATTTGTATTAATTACAAATGCTCGGTTGATAGCTCTTACCTTTTAAATTAACCCATATTTCTTATCTACTCTGTCACATGGTGGTTCCTTTTCCCAACATGGCCATCTTGCTTCTCTCCACTTCTCCTCTCAGCCTCTAGACTCCCCGCTTCCTCCTCTTTATGGTCTCTTTTTGTGTCCAAGTCCCAACTAACCTCTCCCTTCCTGAGGCTGGCCAGTCAGCTTCTTTATTAAACCAAGCACAGAGACGTATATGCACACAGTGCAAAGAAATATTCTACAACTGGTGGGGGTTTTGGTTTTTCCAACCAGGAAGTGAACTCAGACTTCCTACCCTGCAGAGCCTAAAGGAAGAAAATGATCCAGAATTCTCCAAGGGAGAGGAGAAATTCATCAGGAAGTTCTCAGGGTGATTAGAACAACTTCAGTCATTAACAACATGATGAACACACAAACACAAGACACATAAGTTGTTTGTATATGGGCAGGCATGTAACACTGTGGGTTCCATCTCCCTAAGACTTACAGCCTGCCAGACACTTGTTAATATGCTCATCTCTTGGATTTTTATCTCCAACTTTCTGCAGACTGCAACCTCTGACAGCTCTTTCTGTATAATGGAGAGGGAATACCATTACACTGTGATGGGACTCCAATGATTACTAGATTTACTTCTTTTACTCATTTGAGAATACCACCCTCTAATATAAAACCTCAGCTGAAGTAAGTGACTTTTCACATTTATTCCTTTTCAGTATTCAGGATCCAGATGGTCTCAGTTAAGCATGGATTCAATTATATTTGGCCCCTTTGTTTTCTATCAGGAATTCCTTTTCCTCCCGTCTCTGATTTCTTTTTCTAATTTTATCTTCTGGTTGATTCCTTTTCTTCTCTCAAATGGAAAGAGAGAATTTTCTTTTTAGTCTCTTGTCTTTGATGTTTGCATTTTATCCACCTTTCTCTGCCATGTCTGTTATTTCTTAACACCTGAATACATCCTATGCTAGCTCTACAGTAGAAAGTTTATTCAATACAAGGTTGGCAAAACCCTTCAGGGAATTCTTGACATTAGGCTGTGCCTCTGTGACAAGAGATGGTACCATTGAAAGCAGTGGCTTCAGAGTCCCTCGTCAGATTCTAAAGTGACAAGTATTGTCTGTGTCACCTGACACTTATTTTGGACCAGGAATGTCAGAATTAGAATTTAGATGTCTTCTGTTATTGTAAAGCCTTTGTTTTTCTCAGATAATTGCATACAAATATCTGTCTGTTTCAGGTTTTGATTCTCAGACAACATTAGCATTTATAACTGTTTTCTCCATGTTTCCAACATGTTTTTCCTCATGAATTATCATGGCGTTCACATACATATGGCTACAATGGTGTCTGGTGAGAGCTGTTAATTGGCCACTTTCAAACCTGCAAGACAGTATCACGTGGTCAAGTTAAAGAAAAATAATCGGGTTTACTTGTTTATAAAAGAGTGTGTTTTATCCCATGCAGACATCCCCACACCTATAGGGAATCCATGTAATAAGGTTGTGTAATGGAATACAGCTTGTACTCAATTCTGAACACAACATGGAGAAGAAAGATCTATGCTTGGATCCATGGATGAAAAATTGCTGAAGGAAACACAGAAATGAGCCGGGCTGTGATGACACACACCTTTAATCCCAGTACTCCGGAGACAGAAGCAGGCAGATCTCTGTGAGTTCGAGGTCAGCCTGTTTACAGGGTGAGTTCCAGGACAGCCTCCAAGCCACAGAGAAACCCTGTCTCTAATTCCCCTCCCCCCCAAAAATCCCACAGAAATGTGGTGGATTCATTGAAGGTGGCATTACTGTGTTTTTGCTAATAGTTTGGTATGGTACTGAATTAAAAGGTCAAGGAAAGTGGGGGAAGAAAGTGCTCAGATATGAAGAGCCATTTAGTAAGGACATGGTGACAGATTTTTTAAAAAGGCATAGAAAACATGGCCAGAGAAGCCCAAAAGTTGACCATTAGATGAAATTTTTATGCGGAACTCTACTTGTGATGGTTTGAATAAGAACAGCCTGCATAGCCTCATATATTTGACTTCTTAGTCATCAGGGAGCAGCGATACCTGGAAAGGGTGAGGAGGTGCGGCCTTGTTGGCATAGGTGTGATGTGAGCTTCTTGGATGAAGTGTGCCCCTGGGAATGGGCTTCGAAAGCCCAAGTCACACCTGGAGTCTGGCTTTCCCTGCTGCCTAGGGATCTGGATGTAGGACTCTCAGCCTCTTCCCCAACACCATGTCTCCCTGTATGCCACCATGCTCCCCACCATGATGAAATGCACTAAGCCTCTGAAACTGCAAGCAAGCCCCAATTAGATGCTTTCTTTTATAAGAAAGTAGAACAGTGACTAGGACAGAGACCATTTGTCACTCCAAATAAGATTCACAGTTGTCTCACATGACCTAACAGACTCAAGAACCACGGGTGCTGGACAGAGACTTCTGTACTTCACAACAAATAAGACTCTGTAATTCCTCTGTTCTCTATTTATGTCAACTCAGGCGTGTGAGTGTGTGTGTGTGTGTATGTGTGTGTGTGTGTTTGTGTATTTGCAAATTGTGCTTCAATAACACTAGATCTGAAGAAAATATATTTGCAGTTACATCAGCTTTTACTTTCTGGCTTGTCTGCTACATATAAGAGGATAGTGACTTGTCAGAATGATTTAATATGTTATGAAATAATAAAAGAAAGTAAATGAATTTACAAGGTAGAAAAGTTTGTTTACTGTGAAAGATTAAGATATTTCTCTGATACAGCGCATTTTCCAGATACATGATTTATACAGAATGTAACATATGAAGGCACATATACCTCAAGATTGCAAAGTTTCAATCATACTTTTGATTATATCCTTTCCATGGATGAGAGCAAGTACATAAACATTTTAAGAGAGTTTGTTGTCTTTCTTTCATTAATTTTCCTCACGTGCTGATTCTGTGTGATAAGTGTGACTATCACAATTACCATGTCTACAAAAGATTGTACGTTGTGGGCTTAGCATTATTTCTCATTACACTGATTTCTGTTTTTCTCCGTTTGTTTCTTTTTATTTTATTGAAAATATACTTTTCATAAAATAAATTCTGATCTTTTTTCCTCTCCTCAATTCCTTCCAGATCCTCCTCACTTCCCCCCACTTATGTTCTCTCTCTTTCAATAAAAACAAAACTAAGAAACACCCCCATACACACACACACACACACACACACACACACACACACACACACACACACACACTGAAAATCAAAAGAAACAAGAGAAAGACCAATAAGGAAAAAAATACAAAACAAAGCAAAATGGAACAAAAGTATATTAAAATATCATTTAGTATCATTTTGTGTTTGCTATCTACTCCTGGGCATGGAATCTTCCCTGAAATATGCTTGATATACCCAGTGAGACTCCATTAGTGTCGGGTCTATAAAAATGGCTTCACTTCATCTTGGCTTAATGTCAGAGTGTTCAAAATTATCCTTACTCTTCCAAGGTTAAAGTCATAAGACTTAAAGGTCTAAGGCATGGTTACTGTAGGATGTTTGGTTTTAGGCATAGATTTCTTATCTAAATGACAACAGATTTTGTCTAAGGTATAGTTACTAAATGTTTGGAGAATTAAGGGAAAAAGTCTGTTTTTTCTTTGTATTACCATAAAGAAGACTTTTGCCATTTCCCCCTTTTTTGTTTGGGTATATTATAATGTTGAAGAATAAACTTGGTGTTTTCAGTACCAAAAATTGGCAAGTAGGTAAACAATACTCCCATAAGAGCCATAGAGTATCTGTAAGAAACTCCAGTGCCAGTCATAGACCTTCTCTCTCTAGCTTTAAGGAGAGTATAAAAGACTCCCCAAACAAAATAGGCTACTGCTGTTGCACCCAGATGCCTCTTAGAAGTAGAAGTTAAGTCCCTATTGCTGGGGAAACCACACACTTCAGACACAGGAGGTGGGGGATTTAAAATACATCTGACCTGAAAACTTCTCTGAGGACTGGATTTCGAAGTATTGGAAGGCACTATGCAAGCTGTGCAAAAGGTAAGCAATCAATACTCATACCAAGATTTGATGCTTATGAATCACAGCAATGACTAGCATGACAAGCTATGCCTCCAGATGCAATAGTGGTGCTTATATCTCAGCAGCACACAGCAACTCAATTCTTGGACTTGTGTGCCCAACAGGAGAAAAATCATTCATGTCAATGGAAAGCTAGTCAATCATCCAGGGTCATTGAAGTAATGGATCATAGCGGAGTACTGTATAAATGAGCATAATTTATAATTTTATTCTAAATACTTATACATAACCACAGATAAGCATAGCTCTCACCCCTCATCAAGGAAGTCTCTCTGTAGCAGATGGAGACAATTGCAGAAAGCAACAGCTGGTCAATACAGAGATCAAATGATCACAGGATATTTTGATACATCTACAACATTTCCTATACACCTAAGACTCAAAGAGCACTTCAGAAGAGGCATGGGAATAATATAACAGAAAATCAGGATTGGCTCTGAGATTGTATCTATTAGAAATAACAAGAAGCTACATTTGTGACGTGCCAATAATATGGCTATCTAAATAAAACTGGAATAATTGCAACACCAACAGACATGCTAATATGGAAGGGGATATTTCAAGAGATCCCACCGTAGACAAAGAACTGGAGAGAGAGAGAGAGAGAGAGAGAGAGAGAGAGAGAGAGAGAGAGAGAGAGAGAGAGAGAGAGAGAGAGAGTGTGTTCTCCAGGAATGAGTCCCACAGTTGGTATCCAATACCAAGTGGTCAGTCCTGATGTCACACACATACAAACAACACTGAATGTACTCAGCAAGTTCTATTTATATATTTATGCACTATGTATGCAACAATAATTAGAGGTCATAAGTTTGAGAGGGTGAAAGGGGGGATATGGGAGTGTTTGAATGGAGGGATCGGGGTGGAGGATGTAATTAATAAAAATCATTAAAATAAGAAGAAAGATGAGTGCTATGGTATATTGAGAATGAGACCATGTTCAGAGGGCTTTTATTATAGAATATGGTAAATTCTGTTTTTTTTAAAATTAAGTATTGTTAATCTTATTGTGATACATTTGTAAATTAAAATTTGTCAGAACATCATATATATGGTGTTTCAAACATTTGACCTGGATCTTACAATGTACTTTCTTCAACCAATATGGGTAGTAATTAATTTACTTTTAATTATTTATTATATTGTAGAGGACGTCCCTTGTGTCAGACTGACTTTCATCGCTAGGAAAATGCGGTGAAAGTGACAAATGAGAGAGGTCAGGCTGTTCAGTGTGACCAAGAATGCACACAGTGCCCAAGAAAAGGCATGCTTCCACACAAGGCTCTGGACCGCAGAAGCCTGCAAACTGCCTTCACCATAGAATGCAGTCCTGGCTTCCACTCTGGTCTCCCCCAGCTGCTATCTTCCCTGTGACACTATCTTGACCTGGAAGGACCAAGGACAGCCCTCTCTGATTTGTCTCTCTTCAGATGGGGAGTGGTTCATCCTTGGCAGAGTCTGAAGGTTCTCTGGGGAGGGCGAGGTGGAAGTGAGTGTTTGTTATGTGTTGGAAGGAGTCAAGATTCTGGTTTCTGAAGGCCCATTGAGGTTCTTTTATATTCCCAAGGGCTGAGTGAAACTTTTCTGGGCTGGGTTTCAGAAAAGGCCCATGGGAATAACTGGTAGGAGGGCATGGCACAGATTAAGGACAAAGATTCATTTTAAAACGCCATGTGTGCTTGTCCTTAAACCATCCTGTGGGGTTCACATTCAAGTTCCAGGCAGAAGAAGCACTTCTACTACCAAAATCGGGCACCTCACAGAGGCAGCAGCTCAGGTAACAAGGATCCAGGAGGCAGAGGATCAAAAAGTCACAGCAGCGGTGATTTGTAGACTGGCTTAGCCTGGTGTTGGGGTGTAGGGCTAGAAATAAAACAGTCTTACAGCTGCCTTGGGTGTTTGCCCAGAATGCCTTGTCTTTCATCTTCCCAAATGCCCACTTCCAGTACTATATGTTAAAGGTTTTCAATAAGTGCTGATACTGATCCACGAGAGGGAGGGAGAGACAGACAGACAGAAACAGAGAGGGAGGGAGAGACAGAGATAGACAGACTAGGATTTACTGGCATACTGTTGGTGAAAGCCAAGATGCTGATATACCTCGTACAGTGCACAAGGCATCACCCACTCCAAGAAAGTACCAGCCTTTGCTGATACCCTAGTGCTGAGGCTGAGGATCCCTGCTACAGGTATCTGGCTTCCACAACTGTGCCCTGCTTCATCAACACTGGATCTTACAAATGGTTCCAGTGTTCCCAAATACAACGATGTTCACCATGGTTTTGCTTTATTCATTCAGTGTTATTTGCAAGAACCACTTACATTGTTGGGTGTATTTCTAATTCCTAGCAATGGATTTGCTGTCTCCTTCTGCTCCATCTTGCTTCCCTTCTCTGTAGTTATGAACAAGCAGACAGAAAAAAAAAGCAAACCCCCTAATTAAAATTAATGCTACAGGAAATTTGCTCACAAATAGGTTTGAAAACTGTAGTAGACACCAGGGAGGAAGCTGACTGGACTGCGTATCATGAGCTTATGTACATTTTTTTATTTTTAATTTTAGCTTTCCACCTGATTGCTTGTTTATTTTGTGCATGCAGGGCAGGGGCAGTGCATACCATGGGGGTGTATCCGGTGGTCAAAGGACTCTCATTCTACCTTGTGGGTCCTAGAGAATAAACTCAGGCTTGTCTGAAAGTGACTTCACCCCTGAACTATCTTATGGGGCTGAGCCGATAAATTCTTAATTTGCCCTTTCTACATCCTTAGCGTCATTTCTGAGGGTCTCTTACACCTTCCAGCCCAGCAAACACAGGACCCTCTCTGCCTTAGAGGTTTCTACTAAAACGTGAATTCATTCAGTGGCTGCCTTCATTTCCTTCCTTCCTTGTTTCCTTCCTATAGTCCCTGTCTTCGGATTATCCCTCTAGTGTCTTAGTAACCCCTTTTGCTTCATATCCTTGCCATTTTTTTTGCATCAAAATTATTACTCATTGGCTTAAGCTGTTTATTCCTTGTTTTAGTTACATTTTCTTGTCAGTTTGGGACAATATAATTGTCTTCTACCAATTTTCCACCTGATTGCTAACCTTATCTGAGCTACCTTATGGACCAGAGAGGCCTATAACTTGCTGGTTGCCTGATGCTGGTATTTTACATATTTACTCTAGCTTAGTCCAAGAAAGTAAATGTATTCTCCTACATGTTATTCCCTATAGCTTGGTATTTATTTTTCACAGCTTTAATCTGTCTGGATTCCAACTGAGAGTGAAATTAGATGCAAATAAGATTTGTAGTTTCATTAAAGGCATTTTCTTACCACAAATGAGTAAACACTCTCTTTCTCTTGATATGTACCTTGATATTTTGAATAATTCAGTACTTTTAAATCTTCTAATAAGTTTAATCTGTCTCTAAGCTATTCCAATATTGCACTATAAAAACGACTATGGCTTGATATGTGAAGGACTCAGGGGCCCTAACCCTGAGGGAAAAATACTGTTTAATTATCCCTGAAACTGGGAGAGCACAGCTCTGCTCCTTTTCCTTTTGTAGAAGATTAGGTTAGGGAATGGACAGATGGCTCAGCCACTAAAGGTTAGGCTCACAACCAAAAATATGGGAAGATTAGCCTAGTATCACACTTTCTTTTTCCTTGAGGAATTTTGGAGAATTTTAAATTAATATTTACAGCTGACTCATTGAACTTTGAAACAAAATTTCACTGCTGAAGTGACGTGCAGAGGTGATGTCATATAAGACCATCACCTCATGACTGTAAACTTGGGGCATTTATATTACCTTTTACATTTTCATTAACACTGAAAATTTTCCTTTTTGGTACATAATACATATTTTTGTAAACCCATGTGTGATGTATAGGAGATGTTTTAAAAACACCATGGGACGTCTACTGAATATCGATGTCACCATTTCAGTGTCTATATGAGCTCTTTCTAGAGGAGGTAATTTTTCCAATTAATCAATGTATTTCCA